GAGAGAGAGAGAGAGAGAGAGAAATGCCCCCTCATGGATATCTTCAAAAGTTTATTCACGTTTTGACACAAAAACTGCATAGTGGTAAAAGTTTCCTACATAAGCACAGCAGACTCAGTGTTGTCCCTCCAATGATATTATAGCTTGAAATGTCAGTTATGACACTTAACTGGCTTCTGGAAAGTGACCGAGTGAATTAAACACATCTGCTTTATAGTACATGCAGCAGGTAGTTCATACTTTCTCTGAATGAAACATCATTTTCATACATCTTTGATAAAGCACAAAAAAACATCTTTCATTTAAAACTGTTTTTTGACCAAACGTGTTAACTAATTTATTATTATCTTTGAGAACTAATGGAGTGACAAGTCTCATGATGATAAGAAATTAACTATTATCTACAGTATTTGTACAGCACCAGAGTGACTGCTTTTTGTGACACTGCAGTCTTACTTGTGTGTTACAAAAAAGCAGCCTTGAATTTAAATAAATGACATTATCATGCAGAAAATATTACAATTTGTTAACAAAATATATCCTTCCAAAACAAAACAACCTCAAACTGTATGTTGTGGAATTAAACTTTTTTAAAGAGTGTTAAACTGCACTCCAATCCCAGATGAAGCATCTACAAGAAAGCCAACTATTTTTTATTCTGCTTGGAGATCGCAGATCAATTAGATTGTCTGTGGTTTCAGATAACTACAAACCAATAAAAGAATGAAAGACAAATATGACAGCAACACATCATAGTGAAATACAGTGAAGCAAAAGTGTAAGTGTTGCACTACAGCTTTTCAGAAAAAAAACATGCATAAGATCAAGCAGATCACTTGCTTTTAACAACACCATCCAAACGCATGTACTTAAAACATAATCAGGGATGTAGAGTAGTCAAGTTGAACTCAGCCTTACACCTGTAGGCTCACATGAATATGTATGAAGAACCTGGAGTTACATTAGATAGAGCTCTGATGTTTTTGTGTGTTCCTTCTGGTTTGTTTTCTTGTATGAGATCACGATTTAGCTCACGTTAAATTACAGTTAATAACACTTTAAAACATAATTACAGCACATAGCCACAGTTTATGCTGTAATTACTGTTCATTTTATATGAGGCACAAGCAGACTACTGCTGAAATGCCCTTCTGGAATATGATTAATCAAAACACCAGTAAAAACCACATTTTAAGGTAATAACTTACTCCAACTAACACTTACAACACCTACAGTCAGTTGCAGCAGTACATGATGTCAGATCTCATTAGGCTTCCTTACCACTTCAGGACTGCTGACCTCACCCCTGGAGGGTAATACTGAAACCTCAGGGATACACTTCACTTCAGACTTGTTTATAAAATTAGAGTTTACAAAAAACTTTACATTCAATGTTCTGTTAAACTCAGGAATAAAGAAAAATGAAATGAAATAAACTAAATAAAAACAAACAAAAAGTCCAGAAACCAAAATTATGGACTTTCACCTAAAAGGGGCAGGTCCTTCTTTAATGTTGCAACACACTCGTTTTAGTCAAAATGGCCACTGTGCAATCTTTGGCAACAGATTATTGGCAAAACAAGTGATGAAAGTTTTCAGTCCATATCAGTAAACATCACTTTATTTAGAACTAACTCTTAAAAAGTAACAAAAAAATATTCTAATTATGTTATAAAACTGAAGTATGACTCTTTTTAGTTTGCAAAATTTAAACAGAAGTTTTCAAGTAACTTTCTCTAAACTCACCTCTAAATTCAGTGTCACCAAATACAGTTTAAGGCTTTTAAAAAAAACACAGTTGGGAATAGTAGGTACAATGGTGAGTCGGCGCTGCGGTTGATATCTCATAGCCAAGAGGTCTGTAAATAATTTGCATTAAATTGTATAATCTGTGCAGCATCATTAAAAGTGCATTTTAATGAAAGGTAACAATTTCACAGTTTAAAAAAGTATGAATATATATTGAGTCCTTTTCTATCCCCAAGGTTTTCTTTGGGTTAATAGAGAGTCTGATATCAATATGGTGCATTGAGTCATTTTGGTAGAAACTCTGTAACTACACTCAAGGACAGCAGAAATGTTCTGCTGCATAGTTTGGCATATTAGCTAGATGACTAGCTAGCAAGCTAGCATAGGGAAATATCTGAATCAGTCCACGGCAACAAGTAACACGAAGATCAAAGCATCTTAACTGCTTTAAATGTGGATTATGAGGGGAACGTTGGAAAACTTTCACCCCTCTAAGAGGTCCCTGGCCCTCATAAGTTCAAGAAACTCTGGTTGAGCCCCCCTTCACTGCCATACCTCAAAAAAAAAAACAACTTTTTAATAATTGATGTAGCTCAATCCACAGGGTCATAATATGGTAAAAATGCAACAATATGTCAAAAGCATTTTTAAAACACGAACTAGCTATTAAAAACTAGTAGATTCGTCTGTCTTTAGGAACTCACTCTGTTAAAAGGTGAATGTGACAGCACAATATGGGCAAGGGTGGGTCATATCCCAGGATTAAGCCCAGCGTAAAAACACCTTTTTTGGTTCTTTGCATCAAGTTTTCATTCAGTAAGACGGCAACAGCAATCACTGGTGATGCTCGGCAACAGTTTGGCAGCGTCAACAAGGCAGCCATGTTGCTATAAGGCACAAAACCAGAGCTATGAATGACTGAGGTAAAAAGAAATATGACAAGATCAGACTTAATAAATAAGCTGATGGTTAACACAAATGACATTCATTCAGTGTAGCAGACATCACAGTGTCTCATGAGTTGGTCACATCAAAGTTGTCCCTGCCTCTGAACACGATGAGTTAAAGGAGCTGATATTTGTAAGTAATTAGAGGTCATCTGTGATAAAACACATAATTACAAGACATTTACTATCCAGGAATTGCACTTCATTTTTAAGATAAAAGCACAGCATTGCAATCTTTGGCTTTAAAAGGAAAACAAATCAAAACGAGGTTTTCTGAATTTATTAAACCTAATGAGGCGCAACAAAAACATTTTGCTGCATACTCATATCCTTTATGGCCAATAAACCACCACCGAGAAGCCCATAGTCCCACATATAAGCTGCTTCAAGTTACACAGAGAACCTAGACTATTTAATAATTATTGTATATACACAAAAAAATGTTTTTTTTTTAAAATTATATCCCCCTTTTCTTACTTACCTATATGTTTCATTTAAATATGTTTCTTAATTGGATCCAAATTTAATTTTGGAGCTTTGATATGTGCAATGAGACTGCATTGCATTATTGAGTTTGTATTCATAGAGATAAACAAATCTTTTCAGTGCCTCTTAAATGTTAGAAAATATTTATTTTTTCAGATTCTTCTATATTTTATTCATCTACTATGCCATTCTCTGGTTACCCTAGTATCTCCAATACACCACTTTGATTGGAGTCAGTTAAAATTAAAATGTGGCATGTAACATATTGAAATGAACCTCTACAAAAACAAACAAACAAACAAAAAAAAACATTAGCAGTGAAAGGTAAATGGCCAACAGTTTCATGCTAGATGTGTTCTTAATATGTCAAGAAATATGTGTGCATCAGTCACAGCATGCGCCTACGATTGATGAGGCTGATGGATGTTCAGTGACAGGGATGCTGCTCAGATCAGTGTGGGAGCTCCTGGGATTTGACCCTCCAACATTTGGATTCTGTTCTATTGCAGATGCAGCAAAGCAGCAGAAACAAACACGGGGCATGGTTACAGGAACTGAAAATGCAGTTATTTATATAGAAAACTGGAAAAAAATACTGTTCAAATAAATCGTATTTTGTGAAATGTATTTGCATGGGTTTGATACCATTAACATATATTATGTATATAATTCAATGTAATATATTTTCCTGTTGCAAATAATCTTAGACTTTGAAAATAAACCATTCAAAGCTGTTTAAGACAATAAAAGCTTGTCTTAATAGAGTATAAGTGTTTGCTTGGATATAAACTAAACTGCCTTAAATTAAATAAATTACTGTTAAATCTGATAACGGGCATCATAGAGAAAGCAACACAAAAGTCAGCTTTTTATATTACATCCTAAGTTGTAACCCATTTATCCCATTCTAAATTAAAAACATGCATTATGTACATTATAAATACTATTTATAATTAAAATATTCACAAGATGGCATTTTTCTTACTGAACATAGACATAGAAGAGCAGCATAAGCAGAGGGTAAAATGGGCAATATTAACAGCAACCCCAGGAGCTCAACCACTAAAAGAATATTTCAATAAATTAAAGACAAAGTAAGTCTGTCCACTTTTTTCCTCTCTCTGTGATCATCCTCTTAATGTAAAGCTAGCACAGATTCAAACACCTCCCCCTGCTGGATGGAAAGATGCAGTGCTGTCAGATATAAAGAAAGGCTTCAGGTGGTCCTACTGCCCAGACGCCCTGGCTGCTCTTTGCTGCTCCAACATGGCTCTGAGTGCAGGAGACATCATGGTGGGGGACATGGCTGGAGTGAAAGGTCGTAAAGGGTACTGGGCATTTTTGCCAGGGACATAAACGCACTGAAAGAATCTCTGCCCTGTGAAGACAAGATGAGATGGAAAGAGGTTGCTTAGAATGAGATCTGTGGATAGATTTGTACTGTGCAATTATACGATTACATGGTGTGTTCAAACCACACATAAAGCAAAGTTTCCAGACCAGAAATAGAGGCCAAGCTGGCATCACTGTTCGTGGGCACTATATGATTTAAGTTCACTCTTATATAGGGACAGAACCAAAAAAAGACTAACTGGTAAACTCCCAAAATCTGTTTTTGTTTAAGAGGAAGCAGTTCTGGCGTTAGCGCTAAGGTGTTAACATTTCTGGGTTACAAAATGGTCCAAAAAACCCACTGATGTGATGCACAAGTTCACTTCACAGTGGGTTTGAACACAGCCTTAGCCGCCTTGATTAGAAACACCCACACCCATCTATATCCTTCTCCATATACAAATATTAATATCGGCCACAGTCAATGAAATAAGAATCTGAATAAATTTCACCAAGTCTTACCAGGTTTCTTCTTGTCTGTAATATTTTCTTCTTTCTTGGGATCTTCTGCATGCAATAAAAATAAAACTTAATGAGAATATGAGATTGTGCTTCACACTGAGAGAGACAAAAAACAGAGGATAAGTTTCTACATGCATGAAAAAAGAGAAAGGATAAAGGACAGGCTGGGTTTCACTCTTTAAACACAGTGATGTTCTTTTGCTTGTTTCTGCTGCTTCAGTCTCTTGTTAAAGTCAAACTAGAATTAAACTTTATTTGGAAAAGCGACCACTTATCACCACTTGTCATTTGCAAATAAAAATACATTTAAATGTAATTTTTCTGCAACAACCACATCACCCTGCATAATTGTTCAAACCTAATAAAAACCACTCAGCAGGTGTTGAAATAACACGCCTCAAGAGTGGTGCTCAACAAAGAGTAGCCTTGTTGCTGCTGAGTGTTGTAAAGGGAAAGCACCTTCTCATTCCCAGGATACCAAACACTGCTGTCCACAACAAACCACTGACCTCTCGATAATCTATGGAGAGACTAGTCTGTCACCTGAATAGCCATCGATGGGCAATTGTAAAGCACCCTTTGGTGTTACATGTAACTAGATATGCAGCATGTGCAGGTTTAATTTTGTGATGAGGCTTTTCATAAACCTAACCAATAGGAGTTTAGTGACTCAAACAAAGCAAAATAAAAAAGTGACTGAAGAGTAAGTCAATCATCAACTAAAAAACAAATGTGATGGAAACCAAAGTTTATTGGCTGACGCACATCAGAGTTGCAGCTCTCTAAAAGGGGACCATTAACAGCATTTACACCTATAATAAGAATGAATTGCAGCAAGCTACACAGTACACACGTCTATCAACCTTGTATCTAGTTCATAGTGAACCACAGAACTTGCAGACTGAAATCTCTTAGAAATCCTTGTTGGTGAAATGTCACCACTCAGAGACACAGTGCACAGAAATAAAAACATTTGGCAAAGGCAAGTCTATGAACACCAGGAAGGATATTTAACTCACATTAATTTGTTTACTCATGTTGTTGCTCTAATTGCTATTTACAAGGTTGTTTTTCTTCTTGCTTTACTGTTAGTTGATGTTTGCATTAGAGTATCAGGACTTTGTTAAGTTGTATAGTTATATTTAACTTAAACGTAACAATGTGTGCGTGCATTTCCCTGCTAAATAAAATATAAGTAATTTAAATCAAATGAAATGAAATCCTTCAAAAGAGGTTGATTTCTTTTGGAATTCAGTCATGCATAAAACAAACCATACAACACAAATACTGGCTAGTATTGTCTGTATAAAACGATTCTGGTTTGCTTCTTTTAAGTGAAGTAAAGAAACCAAAATCAAAGTAAACCTCTGAACTTCAGTCTGAACCAAAGAAACCAAACTACTTTTCATCACACCTGAAGAAACAGGCACTGCTGTGTCAGATGGTAGCAAAGTGTGAAGTTAAACAGGGCAGTGGGGGAGTGTTTGTAGTCCACTGGATGATTCAATAGGAACAGAACACTAATAACCCAATTTAATGGGTTTTGGTTCATGGATTTAATCAATCCAGCTAAGTATAAAATTGTTGCCATATTCATCAAAGGCCATAATCTCTTTCAATAATTCAAGGCGGCTCAAAAGGCTTGTAATCTTGTACCAATCAGCTCATCTCATTAAATTCTAATCACTTGTGATCCTAATGTCATTAAAGCCATCGTCCTTTCATACTGAATTATCCATTGGAAAGATGGTGAAAATTTACAGAATACCTCAGGCCTTACAGGAAGCTGTTTTCTCATTTTCTATTGACAACAAGCATATGATACACAACATGAATGACAGAAAACAAAACGATTCATAGCACCACTGTGTTTCTTTGTAATACTTCAAAATGTTTATCCAGTAATTCAAGAAGCTTTATCAGTTCAGCTAACTTGTATACTGTAGCTTACACTCATGCTGGGAACTTCCATTTAAAGGCATTATGAGGAAAACAATTCTGAGAGTTAATTTATACATTTGTCGATTTAGCTGTTGATCAGGATTGTGTGAGTGCATGTGCTGATGTACAGACTCTTTTTGTGAAAGGACAGCTTATTCTAATTTCTATCACCCTCCTGAACATCATGGCTGCATAGCTCCCAACAATCTTTGCTGCCAACAATAAAATTGGCAATCTAAACTCATTCTGCCAGATATGGCAACATGTTTTAGGTATCTTTGTATGAGGGAAAAAATATGCATATAGTAAAACAAGGAATACACTCCTGCTCCTTTTACCCAGAATTTCAAAAGTATACTGAAGAACAAAATGCTTTGATAGTAGAAAGCATTTTTCTAGTCTTTTATGTTTGTCTGCATTATTTTATTGTCACCAACCCCTGACATGTAGCCATGTCTGCCTCTTCCTTGCGAGAAGAGACAAAGCAAAATCTCTGATGCATTCAGTCAGATTGACAAGCAAGATGACAGAGAGGAGGGTGTTTACATTGCAGAAGTATTCATATTATTTTGTGCCTAGATGATGATGACTATCTGCCAGCTTTGAAAGAGCGCAGCTTCACATTCAGAACAAGCACAGCAAGGTAAGTACGGCTGATGAGGAGGACAATGGTGTCGATGCTACAGCTCCAAAACCACAATGTCTAGATTTTACCAAAAACTGTCAGTGTGAGGGAAATTAACAAGCGTGTTGCTTAATACATTGTTGATATGGACTATTGAGTTGTCCATATCAACTCAGTAGGTAGGCTCGGCCCCTTGGAACAATATGATAAACTAAAACCAAAAACGAACTCTAAAGAACTCAAAAGTCTTAATTCCCACTAATGCTGTAACATAACAGATGACTTTTTTTTACTTGAAATAAAACTGGATTCTAACAAGTTAACTTTAAATGTATCCCAATACTAACCAAGAACTGTTACTGATGACAGATACCTTACTAGCTCAGAGGTCATATCAGTAACCAAAAGAGAACCAGGAATGTTTAAGTCTCTAATCAGCAGCACTGATAAAGCCTCTTGAATGAAGCACACTCCATTGAAATTAAACTTCTGGAAACACAAATAATTCTAATAAGTGTCAATACTCTCTATGGTGACTGGAGATTATTTACTGTGCATATAGAAAACTTTCATGCTCGAGTACTTACCAGTTTTTGATGCTTGTTTCTCTTTTTCTAAAATTTGCAAGGGGAGAAAGGAGCAGCTGAGCCTTCTGAAATATACATAGCACTCATTAGATTCACTTCTAATTCTACTCTAAAGCCATACCTTGAGTCTCTTTGACAGATTTCTTTTCAGCCTTCTCTGCTTGGCCTGTGAGAGGAGAGACAGCCCTATTACAGCCTGCCAAATAACTCTCTGTAATTGTGGTGTAAATTCAATATTCTTGCAATATTATTCCCTTCTCGGAGTAATACAGCTTGGCATGTCTCTAATTAGAACTTTATCATGCATAAAACAGCCCATTTTATTCACTTAATCTGCATCTCAGAAAGGGGCGATTTTCCCTGAAAAATGCCAGCAGAGAACATGAGTATGTTTCAAACACATCTAATTTGCTGTAGATGGTTTTACAAGGGTACAAACATATACGCTTGCACCTTCTCTTCCTGTGTTTCACTTGATCAGTTTAGCTTCTGAGAAACATGGATGGACATGAATACTAACAGTGAATGTGAACATTAGACTCTTTCAGAATGAGGCATGACTGCAGTTTAGAAATTCTTCATTTCCATCCTCTAATTAAAAGCCATTTTTCAGAGGTGTTTTACTCTCGGCATGAATTCCACCATAGTTAATTTGCCTTCCAATTTATCAAAGGGTGTACATTCAGACTGGTTATAAGACTTTGTGGTTCAAATTTAAAGAATACAACTTTTACAGAGCTGAAAGTAAAGGCAAGAAAGACAGCTTGTTAGATTTTCCTGTTTTTAACAAGGTAACAAAGATGGCTTTGAAACAGCTGAGGGCTAACTTTCCCACTAATTTTGGAAATCCTTCAGGGAAAGCACAAGGTAGACATATTTGTTTCTGAGAGCTGTCCATACAAGCAACAATCATCTCAAGACAATTATAGTATTTATTTATTCATAAACATAAACTAAAAAATGTTTTGTTTTGTTTGGGGTTTTTTAATCAGAAAAACAAGTTTGCCCAGTTATTTATTCTGTGGCTTAATGACTGTAACTCTAATAATGATAAATAATCTAGTCTTAGCTGAATATACACAATGTGTTCTGTCATTCTGGCAGATTATGCACTAGCATTAGGACACTGGCAAAGTGCAGTGCTAATATCGTACTCCAAGAAATAACAATCATATTTTAGACAGTTGTGAAGTTTACATCTGGAGATCAGAGTTGGCGGTGTAGTAAATCTGACCTGTAATGTTGAGTATTGAAAATTAATTCAAATTTGGGAGAGAGGGAGAAGGGATAGAAATGTTGCGCGGTCCCACAAGTGGGACACCTGGTCACTACTGGCATGTTAGCATACTAATGGGTTAAAAGGACTATTGTGCAGTCTCAAAGTGCTGCTAGCATGCTGTAAATAAGCTAAGCTTTAGGGAAAATTATTGCCACATTAAAATATAAACTTACTTTTCTTTGCTGCCAATAATTTTGATCTTGTCTTGGCTACAAAAACAAAAAAATAGTAAAGAACTACAAGTTTTAGGAAAGCTAGATATTTTGGGGCCCTCATGAAAGAAACACAGACCTGGTTCAGATCTGGCAGGTTTCTCCTCGTGGGCTTCAGAGGTTACATTTGCCCTCCTGCCAATGTCAAGTCTCGGTCTCAGTCTGAGTGGCTGTGGACGTGGTTCTGGATCTGTTTGATATGAATTTGAACCGAACTAAATCATCTTAATAAACAGAAATTATAATGCAGGGGTAACTGGGCTAAAGTTGATGATTAAAAAAAGATCTTCAACCGAGAAGAAAATCAAATTTTCGTGAACTCATGCACGGTCTGAGTTTTACCTGTCTTTGCTATCGAAGCCTTCACTTTGCTCCTGATAGGTGCCGCTTTTGAGGGGAGCAGAAACAATTCGTTCCCAATCAGCTTTCATGAATTATGATTGGCTTTATGCAAATTAATGAATGTCAGTGAGTGCCGTCACCTGTCTTTTCAGAGGCTGATTTCCTCTTCTGTCTTTCAGCCGCAGGCTCTAACGTAATGAGGAAAAACTCGTGATTAGCAGCCTGAATAATTTGTTTTCTCAGTCAACTATTAATTTCTACTTCACATGAAAGAGAAATGTGTTGGACTGCATTTGATTTTTTTTAAATATTACAAATTTGATGAGATCCTAACGTCTAATCATGTTTACCTTTCTTAGGAGCTGCAGCACTTTTAGTTTTATGTTTTGCAGATGGATCTATGCAAACAAATTGGAACAAAATACAACAGAATTAAATATATAATGTTTAATTTTCATCATTTATATGTCTCAATAACAACAATAAAGGATATTTTACCTGTTTTTGCCCCTGCATGAATTCTGATTTTCTCTTTTTTAGCAGCTGCCACTGAAGTAACAAACACATAAGAAGAACATTACACTTTTAAAGGCAATCAAAATGCATTAGAAAGTATAGATCCATAGATACCAGATCACCTTTCTTTGCAGTGTCTGCTTTGGTTTTGTCTTTCAAAACGGCAGCATCTAGTATTGAAAAAATACATGAATTTATGGTATCTGTATCTTGGAAAAAGGTTTAAATATATATGAATATTTATAACAAAGCACAGCTATAATTACTGTGTGTATCACTTCTAACAATGTGAAGTGTGTACCAGTGGAAACACCAAATTATCCAGCTGTATACATGAATTACCTTTCTTTGTTTTCCCTTTGGCTGCTCCTGGCTCTGAGGGGATAATTGCTGTGAAATGCCCATGCCAAGTTAATTTTCTTTAATTAATGCATTCATATAGCACACAGTGCTATTGTACATCACTGTTATGTGCTGCAGCTGTCGTTTGTTATAGTGGATATTCTAGTTAGCTGGCAAATTAAGTATTTAGTGGATGTGGAGAGCGCTACAGTACCTTTGTCTGAATCAGCAGCCTTTGTTGTTGTTTTTTTTGCTGAAAATGACAAGACATTAATTACTATCACTGATGTAATTGTGATAAACACAACTTTCCACAAGAGTTTAACTTCTTAGTTTGTACCTTTCTTTGTGGAGACAGCAATCACGTCCTCCTCAGCAGCCTCTGGTTCTTAAAGGGGAAACAGTTGTAGGTTTATTTACTTTGTAGCATAATTTGAATTATTTTAAAGTTTCACAGAAAAATGTAAGATTTTCAGGATAGTGTGGGGGTTTTTTTTCAAGTGAAATGTATTTATGCTTTTATGTATTCATTTATTTATCACACCTTATTCAAATATTTACTTATCAACAACTCTGTTTAATTAGTTGCACTATATTTTTAAGCCTCATTGATTTATTTGATCAGATTTTTGTGATTTTCCTCCCAAAACCTGTGGAAGGTGAGTAGAAAAAAAATCTGTATATTTAAATATTTTTAAATGAATACCTTGAAAACAAGAAAGAACAAGAAAACAAGAACAAGAAACAACCATTTCAAAAGAAGAAAGAAAATAAATAGGCATATCCTTCTCACCTTGAACCGGAGCATCAGCAGGCTCAGCTTCAACAGCTGGAGACGGGACCTCAGGTTGGGCAGGAGCTTTTTCTTCTTCTTCTGCAGCTTCTGGCTGTACAGGCTGGAGTGGCTGAACTGGATCTGGTGGAGGCGGCATCACAGGCTGAAGTGGTGGCTGATATGGTTGATACTGTGCGTACAGTGGATGCATTGGTGCTGGCGGAGGCTGTTGCTGATAAATGCCCTGTGGGGCTCCGGGATGGACAGGGTGGGCGGTCAGTACAGGAGCAGAGGGAGCTGAAAACAAAAACAAATACGCCTTTAACCTTACAGCAGAAGTCATTGAGCAACGGAGATTTAACTGTGACTGCAAACAGTACCAAAAAGTGAATACCTGACATGGTAGGAGGAGGGTAAGGATTGTCTGTGACTATGTGATGAACTGCAAGATAAAAAGCCAACTTTAAGCTGGTGCACAGTAAAGTTTTTAATTCAGCCTATATGACAACATTTCAGTGCACTGTGGAGATCCTTGTGCTTACCATACCATCCAGGTGGGGACGGGCAATAAACTGGTGCAGGTCTACAAGGCCCAACTGCAAAACATCAGTGCACATTTGCATTATTCATATAATCCAAAGCAACAGTTTACTGGAATAATACACAAACAAAGTCATATTCTTATTTTTATATTTTGGTAAAAATGTTCTTTTAAATCAGGAGAAAAATATGAATGTTTTATACCTTCTTGTCCAGAGTCTGTGACCTGTTCTTGCTTTTTGGTCTTTGTCTCTGTGAATAAACAAGGTCACATTAAAAAAAAAACAGAAGTTTTATAAATACACTAACATAATTTGCTCTGCTTTTGTAATACAGTGATCATGAATGTGACATATTTGTGGGGAAGTAATTGCTTACTTGTTTTGGAAGCCTTGGGTTTATCTACTTTCTTGGCTTTTTAGAATTGAAAAAGGTACAAATATTTAAATTCATAACGTATATGTGAAAAAGTAATTCTCTCCTGATTAACATTGAGACCAGTTTATGTGTGTATTAAATCTTAGTACCTTTCAGAAAAGGAGGAAATCTTCGGATCTTTGTGATTTTCGGAGGCAGGCTGATTCTAGGAAGAGCTGATTACGACATGACTGTGTTTATTACAATATCACAATAAAGGCAAACAATAATAAGCGCATCATTTTAAAGATTAAATTCATATAAACATAAGAATCAGTGCTACCTGTCTTTTTGGGCTTTTCAGCTGTCTTTAGAGTCTTTACAGTCCTCACAGTTTCCCGATCTGAAAATGAACATAAGGGATAAAAAAAAGAAAATTGATAAATTATCTCTGAATCAAAAAGCTTAATTAAAGTTGCAACTTCATATCCAAGTGATGCAAATTATTCTAATTTTACAGGGTGAGATAATATTGTTCCCTGAATTATTCCCCTGTAGAGCTTATGGGAGGTTACTGTGAAACATAATAATGACTTAAACTTTGTCTCTTGGGAGTTTTGCAGGTAACGTCAGTGAGTATATCTTAAATAGGAACTTTTTATTTGTTTTTTTTTACCATTACCTTTTCTCCTTCTCACAGCAGAAACTCTCTTGGGAGCATCTGAAAATATAAACAAAGCTAAAGCTACAAACTGGAGGAGGAACACAGAGGCTTGTGAAGAGTTACGTACTTATGACACTGCATGCAGCACACAACATGATGCATATCTGCAGAATACAGGTTTATGTTCCAGCATAATCAACATTTATAAACTACAGTTTAAAAATGTTGATTAAAGTGGAAGAATCAAACAAAAATGAGTATAATGTCTACCCTTTATTAAAATGCTTTTTTTGTATTGTTTATATGACACAATGCAATAAGATGCGATATTATCATCACACCCTCCATCTAAATAATGTATTATTTATACAGTAGAGTTGTTTTTATGCACCTGACTGTGAGGTAAGAAAAACAAAGAGACTCCAGCACAAATCTCATATGGGATCACTTTTAAGTTTTACATTGAGTTGCATTTTTATTTTCTGTGTCACACAAGGCTTTAAAAAAAAAAACAATCCACTTGGTTGATACACAGAGACTTAAATACATGATCTAAATGTTAAACATGTTTGGGTTCCAAGTTACACCCAGTTTCTTATGAGCACCATCACATATTCTACATTCTCTCTGCTGCACCATCTTTACATTAACATGTAACTACAGCTTGCACAAAGAACATATTTAGTTTTTATCTTGTGGAGAACAGTGATGGTGCATTATGATGCAATATGATCTATAAATCCTCAACAGAAAAAAAACAAGCGTTTCACGTGTGTTGAATATGAACACTGAAATGATATATGGGATTTTTTCTGCTTTTAAGACTAAAAAATACTAAAAAAATAATAGTTTTGATTCTGTATGCATCTGAAACAGTTAGAAAGTTAGAAAACTCAATTTGTTTTTTTGGCAAATTACTGAATGAATTAAAACTTGCACAAATGATCAATACAATTGCTACGTGCAGGAAAATAAAAGAAGTCTAGATACAATGTAATCGCATAAGATAAAAC